CTTCGTTGGTGTTGGACTTTACACATTCGGGGTCGTTGCTGTTCCTTCGCAGCTCCTCTCGGATTGGTCCTGTGCCGTTCGTGCTGGATCTTGCAGATCTGGGTTCTTTGCCGTTGCTCCGAAGTTTCGCAAGGGTTGGATTGGTGCTGCTAGCATGCGGGCTATCGCGAACGGGCTTTCTTCTGCCCGTGCCTGACTTCGTGTTGATGGGCCTGCCACTGCCACTGCACGGCCTGTCCCGCATGGACTCAGGACTTTCGGCGCTGGATCTCGTCCACCCTGGCTCATTGCCGCTGCTACATGGTCTCAGTCAAACTGGCTTGAGTCTTCTGGCATTAGACGTCTTGAACGCAGGTCCGCTGTTGTCAACAAGAAGCGTCGCTCATTCGGAGTCCAGCCTGCCGGTGGTAGACTTTGTGCACCTTGGCAGTTTGCCGCTGTTGCAAGGTGCCTCGAGACCGGGAGCTTTCTTGCTCGTGCTGGATTCTTGTCATGCTGGATTTCTGTTGTTGCTTCATGGATGTGCAAGAGCCGATTCGGTGCTGCCTGTTCCAGACCTTGTGCACCTGGGCTTGAGTCCACCTTCGCGCAGCTATGTTTGCACCGGTAGCTTATCGTTCGTGCTTGACTTTGTGCACTTCGAGCTGCTGCTGCTTTCGAGAAGTACCAGTCGCCTTGGTTCGATAATGCCGGCACCTGGCATGAGTTGCCTCGACCTGTCATCACCTGCCCCGGACTCCGTTCATTCAGGATTGATGATGTTGCCGCGGGGTTTTGCTTGTGCCGGTTTCTCGCCACTGGCATTGGACCTCGTCCACCTAGGGCCTTTGCTGCTTCTGAGGAGTGCGAGTCAGTCAGGCATGTTCCTGCTGGTTCCAGACGTTGTCAATTTCGGGCCCTCATCGCCGCTTAGAGGGGTCGCATGGGCCGACTCAGCTTCGTTGGTGTTGGACTTTACACATTCGGGGTCGTTGCTGTTCCTTCGCAGCTCCTCTCGGATTGGTCCTGTGCCGTTCGTGCTGGATCTTGCAGATCTGGGTTCTCTGCCGTTGCTCCGAAGTTTCGCAAGGGTTGGATTGATTCTGCTAGCATGCGGGCTATCGCGAACGGGCTTTCTTCTGCCCGTGCCCGACTTCGTGTTGATGGGCCTGCCACTGCCACTGCAAGGGCTGTCATGCATGGAGTCTGGACTTTCGGTGCTGGATCTCGTCCACTCTGGCTCACTGCCGCTGCTACATGGCCTCAGTCAAACTGGCTTGAGTCTTCTGGCATTGGACATCTTGAACGCAGGTCCGCTCTTGTCACCAAGAAGCGTCGCACAATCGGGGTCCAGCCTGCCAGTGGTAGACTTTGTGCACCTTGGCAGTTTGCCGCTGTTGCAAGGTGTCTCGAGACCGGGAGCTTTCTTGCTCGTGCTGGATTCTTGTCACGCTGGATTTCTGCTGTTGCTTCATGGATGTGCAAGAGCCGATTCGGTGCTGCCTGTTCCAGACCTTGTGCACCTGGGCTTGAGTCCACCTTCGCGCAGTTATGTTTGCGCCGGTAGCTTATCGTTCGTGCTTGACTTTGTGCACTTCGAGCTGCTGCTGCTTTCGAGAAGTACCAGTCGCCTTGGTTCGATAATGCCGGCACCTGGCATGAGTTGCCTCGACCTGTCATCACCTGCCCCGGACTCCGTTCATTCAGGATTGATGATGTTGCCGCGGGGTTTTGCTTGTGCCGGTTTCTCGCCACTGGCATTGGACCTCGTCCACCTAGGGCCTGTGCTGCTTCTGAGGAGTGCGAGTCAGTCAGGCATGTTCCTGCTGGTTCCAGACGTTGTTAATTTCGGGCCCTCCTCGCCGCTTAGAGGGGTCGCATGGGCCGACTCAGCTTCGTTGGTGTTGGACTTTACACATTCGGGGTCGTTGCTGTTCCTTCGCAGCTCCTCTCGGATTGGTCCTGTGCCGTTCGTGCTGGATCTTGCAGATCTGGGTTCTCTGCCGTTGCTCCGAAGTTTCGCAAGGGTTGGATTGGTGCTGCTAGCGTGCGGGCTATCGCGAACGGGCTTTCTTCTGCCCGTGCCCGACTTCGTGTTGATGGGCCTGCCACTGCCACTGCATGGCCTGTCGTGCATGGACTCAGGACTTTCGGTGCTGGATCTCGTCCACCCTGGCTCATTGCCGCTGTTACATGGTCTCAGTCAAACTGGCTTGAGTCTTCTGGCATTAGACGTCTTGAACGCAGGTCTTGTCTTGTCACCAAGAAGCGTCGCTCATTCGGAGTCCAGCCTGCCGGTGGTAGACTTTGTGCACCTTGGCAGTTTGCCGCTGTTGCAAGGTGTCTCGAGACCGGGAGCTTTCTTGCTCGTGCTGGATTCTTGTCACGCTGGATTTCTGCTGTTGCTTCATGGATGTGCAAGAGCCGATTCGGTGCTGCCTGTTCCAGACCTTGTGCACCTGGGCTTGACTTTATTTCTTCGTAGTCATGGTTGGACGGGTCTACCACTCTCTGTTCCTGATCTGGTCCATTCGGAGCTTTCGCTCTTGCCTCGAAGTCTTAGCTGTCTTGGGTTAACAGCATTCACTTTAGGGCTCACTCGGCTTGGCCCCTGCTTCTTGCTGTCCGTGATCGAATCTACGCATCCAGAATTATTGCCGTCACTTCGAGGAGCTGCGCACTCGGGATCCTTGCTGCTTGCCCTCGACTCCTCCCACTTCGACTTTGCACTGCTGTCACGAAGCCACGCTTGCCTGGACCTTGCGGTGCCTGTCTTAGATGTGATGCAATTGGAGCTTTTCCTGTTTTCACGATCCTCTGCGCACCCGGGCCTGGTACTGCTTGCTTTGGATCTTTTGCAGGCAGACTCCGGGTTGCCGCTCCGAGGCCGTGCAAGGTCAGGGCCAATGCTGCCCGCTTGGGATTCCGTACGCCTGGGCTCCTTCGTGCCAATGCGCAGCCATTGCCGCCCTGAGTCAGCTATGTTGCCCTTAGACTGTGGACATACGGGTTCTCCACCGAGCATGCGGAGTTCTGTACACCCAGGCCTTCCTCCCCTGGCTCCTGATACTGCAAATGCTGGGCCCTCAACATTCTTGCGCTGCTTCGCGCAGCTGGGCTTTCCGACTCTTGTTGCCGGAGCTGCTTGCATGGATTCATCTCTCTCTGCGCTTGATTTTGCCACTTCCGGCTTCTTGCCGCCGCTGCGTGGAGCTGGCTGACTGGGTCTCATTGCGCTTGCTCCAGACTTTGTGCATTTCGAGTTGTCCCCTTCTTCAAGGACACTTGCACGCCCAGGCCTGTCTGTCTCGGCACCAGATCTTGTGCACCCAGATTCACTGTCGCCACCACGAGGTGTCTCCAAGGTAGAAAGTGCCTTGTTTGTGCTTGACTTTGCGAACTATGGCTTTTCGTTGTTCTCGCACAACCTTGTTCGGTTTAGCTTGTCTCTGTCACTGCCGGGAATGGCAAGGATGGAATCGTCTTTGTTGGTTCTGGGCTTTGTTCATCTCGGATCAACACCGCTCCTGCAAGGCTTCTCGAGAGCGGGTTCAGTTTTGAGCGCTTTGGATGCGACCTACTTCGGCTTCTCGCCGTTGTCGAGAAGCCCGGCTTGAGTAGACGTCCTGTCGTTGGTGCCGGACTCCGTCACACTCGAGCCACTGTTGCCACTTCGTGGATGCGCACAAGCTGGCAGCTTGCCATTTGTTCTTGATTTTGTGCATTTGGCGTTGCCCTTGTTTCTGAAGAGCGCAGCTCGGTCAGAACTCGCCCTGCTTGCTCTGGATTCTGTGCACACTGGATTCTCTTCGTTCCCACATCAGCTTGCTCGAGCAGGGTTTCTGCTGCTTGTGCTGGGCACAAGCTGCATGGACTTCTCACCTTCAGTGCTTGATGTTTGTGAGTTTGGACCGCCGCCACCTTTGCGGGGACTCGCGCAGCTTGACCTCCTGCCATCAGTCCCGGATTTCAGCTCGCTGGGTTCGCCTCTATTGTTGAGAGGATCGGTTCGCGTCGGATTCGTGATGCCGGTGCTGGATTCCGTGGGCATGGGCCCGTCATCACCTTTACGCGGTGGTGCACGTTGTGACTCTGCATTGCTGGCATCGAGTTTTGCGCATTTCGGCTTGCTGCCGTCTTTGCGCAGCATGGCCCGGTCAGAACTGGCACTTCTGGTCTTGGACTGCGCCAGTTTTGACCTCTTCTCGTTGTTGCGGAGTGTTGTTCAGGCAGATCCTGTTCCGTCGGTGTCGGATATGGTGCACTTCGGATTACCGCCGCTCCCTCGAACACCTGCTCGATTGGAGCCGCCGCTTTTCGTTGCAGATCTTGCTACTTCCGGCTTCCTGCCGCCGCTGCGTGGAGCTAGCTGACTGGGTCTCATTGCGCTTGCTCCAGACTTTGTGCATTTCGAGTTGTCCCCTTCTTCAAGGACACTTGCACGCCCAGGCCTGTCTGTCTCGGCACCAGATCTTGTGCACCCAGATCCACTGTCGCCACCACGAGGTGTCTCTAAGGTAGAAAGTGCGTTGTTGGTGCTTGACTTTGCGAACTATGGCTTTCCGTTGTTCTCGCACAACCTTGTTCGGTCTAGCTTGTCTCTGTCACTGCCGGGAATGGCAAGGATGGAATCGTCTTTGTTGGTTCTGGGCTTTGTACATCTCGGATCAACACCGCTCCTGCAAGGCTTCTCCAGAGCGGGTTCAGTTTTGAGCGCTTTGGATGCGACCTACTTCGGCTTCTCGCCGTTGTCGAGAAGCTCGGCTTGAGTGGAAGTCCTGTCGCTGGTGCCGGACTCCGTCACACTCGAGCCACTGTTGCCACTTCGTGGATGCGCACAAGCTGGCAGCTTGCCATTTGTTCTTGATTTTGTGCATTTGGCGTTGCCCCTGTTTCTGAAGAGCGCAGCTCGGTCAGAACTCGCCCTGCTTGCTCTGGATTCTGTGCACACTGGATTCTCTTCGTTCCCACATCAGCTTGCTCGAGCAGGGTTTCTGCTGCTTGTGCTGGGCACAAGCTGCATGGACTTCTCACCTTCAGTGCTTGATGTTTGTGAGTTTGGACCGCCGCCACCTTTGCGGGGACTCGCGCAGCTTGACCTCCTGCCATCAGTCCCGGATTTCAGCTCGCTGGGTTCGCCTCTATTGTTGAGAGGAACGGGTCGCGTCGGATTCGTGATGTCAGTGCTGGATTCCGTGGGCATGGGCCCGTCATCACCTTTACGTGGTCGTGCGCGATGTGACTTTGCATTGCTGGCATCGAGTTTTGTGCAACTCGGCTTGCTGCCGTCCTTGCGCAGCATGGCCCGGTCAGAACTGGCACTTCTGGTCTTGGACTGCGCCAGTTTTGACCTCTCCTCGTTGTTGCGGAGTGTTGTTCAGGCAGATCCTGTTCCGTCGGTGTCGGATATGGTGCACTTCGGCTTACCGCCGCTCCCTCGAACACCTGCTCGATCGGAGCTGCCTCTTTTCGTTGCAGATCTTGCTACTTCCGGCTTCCTGCCGCCGCTGCGTGGAGCTAGCTGACTGGGTCTCATTGCGCTTGCTCCAGACTTTGTGCATTTCGAGTTGTCCCCTTCTTCAAGGACACTTGCCCGCCCAGGCCTGTCTGTCTCGGCACCAGATCTTGTGCACCCAGATCCACTGTCGCCACCACGAGGTGTCTCTAAGGTAGAAAGTGCCTTGTTGGTGCTTGACTTTGCGAACTATGGCTTTTCGTTGTTCTCGCACAACCTTGTTCGGTCTAGCTTGTCTCTGTCACTGCCGGGAATGGCAAGGATGGAATCGTCTTTGTTGGTTCTGGGCTTTGTTCATCTCGGATCAACACCGCTCCTGCAAGGCTTCTCCAGAGCGGGTTCAGTGTTGAGCGCTTTGGATGCGACCTACTTCGGCTTCTCGCCGTTGTCGAGAAGCCCGGCTTGAGTAGACGTCCTGTCGTTGGTGCCGGACTCCGTCACACTCGAGCCACTGTTGCCACTTCGTGGATGCGCACAAGCTGGCAGCTTGCCATTTGTTCTTGATTTTGTGCATTTGGCGTTGCCCTTGTTTCTGAAGAGCGCAGCTCGGTCAGAACTCGCCCTGCTTGCTCTGGATTCTGTGCACACTGGATTCTCTTCGTTCCCACATCAGCTTGCTCGAGCAGGGTTTCTGCTGCTTGTGCTGGGCACAAGCTGCATGGACTTCTCACCTTCAGTGCTTGATGTTTGTGAGTTTGGACCGCCGCCACCTTTGCGGGGACTCGCGCAGCTTGACCTCCTGCCATCAGTCCCGGATTTCAGCTCGCTGGGTTCGCCTCTATTGTTGAGAGGAGCGGTTCGCGTCGGATTCGTGATGCCGGTGCCGGATTCCGTGGGCATGGGCCCGTCATCACCTTTACGTGGTCGTGCGCGATGTGACTCTGCATTGCTGGCATCGAGTTTTGTGCAACTCGGCTTGCTGCCGTCCTTGCGCAGCATGGCCCGGTCAGAACTGGCACTTCTGGTCTTGGACTGCGCCAGTTTTGACCTCTTCTCGTTGTTGCGGAGTGTTGTTCAGGCAGATCCTGTTCTGTCAGTGTCGGATATGGTGCACTTCGGCTTACCGCCGCTCCCTCGAACACCTGCTCGATCGGAGCCGCCGCTTTTCGTTGCAGATCTTGCTACTTCCGGCTTCTTGCCGCCGCTGCGTGGAGCTAGCTGACTGGGTCTCATTGCGCTTGCTCCAGACTTTGTGCATTTCGAGTTGTCCCCTTCTTCAAGGACACTTGCACGCCCAGGCCTGTCTGTCTCGGCACCAGATCTTGTGCACCCAGATCCACTGTCGCCACCACGAGGTGTCTCTAAGGTAGAAAGTGCGTTGTTGGTGCTTGACTTTGCGAACTATGGCTTTTCGTTGTTCTCGCACAACCTTGTTCGGTCTAGCTTGTCTCTGTCACTGCCGGGAATGGCAAGGATGGAATCGTCTTTGTTGGTTCTGGGCTTTGTTCATCTCGGATCAACACCGCTCCTGCAAGGCTTCTCCAGAGCGGGTTCAGTTTTGAGCGCTTTGGATGCGACCTACTTCGGCTTCTCGCCGTTGTCGAGAAGCCCGGCTTGAGTAGACGTCCTGTCGTTGGTGCCGGACTCCGTCACACTCGAGCCACTGTTGCCACTTCGTGGATGCGCACAAGCTGGCAGCTTGCCATTTGTTCTTGATTTTGTGCATTTGGCGTTGCCCTTGTTTCTGAAGAGCGCAGCTCGGTCAGAACTCGCCCTGCTTGCTCTGGATTCTGTGCACACTGGATTCTCTTCGTTCCCACATCAGCTTGCTCGAGCAGGGTTTCTGCTGCTTGTGCTGGGCACAAGCTGCATGGACTTCTCACCTTCAGTGCTTGATGTTTGTGAGTTTGGACCGCCGCCACCTTTGCGGGGACTCGCGCAGCTTGACCTCCTGCCATCAGTCCCGGATTTCAGCTCGCTGGGTTCGCCTCTATTGTTGAGAGGAACGGTTTGCGTCGGATTCTTGATGTCAGTGCCGGATTCCGTGGGCATGGGCCCGTCATCACCTTTACGTGGTCGTGCGCGATGTGACTCTGCATTGCTGGCATCGAGTTTTGTGCAACTCGGCTTGCTGCCGTCCTTGCGCAGCATGGCCCGGTCAGAACTGGCACTTCTGGTCTTGGACTGCGCCAGTTTTGACCTCTCCTCGTTGTTGCGGAGTGTTGTTCAGGCAGATCCTGTTCCGTCGGTGTCGGATATGGTGCACTTCGGATTACCGCCGCTCCCTCGAACACCTGCTCGATTGGAGCCGCCGCTTTTCGTTGCAGATCTTGCTACTTCCGGCTTCCTGCCGCCGCTGCGTGGAGCTAGCTGACTGGGTCTCATTGCGCTTGCTCCAGACTTTGTGCATTTCGAGTTGTCCCCTTCTTCAAGGACACTTGCACGCCCAGGCCTGTCTGTCTCGGCACCAGATCTTGTGCACCCAGATCCACTGTCGCCACCACGAGGTGTCTCTAAGGTAGAAAGTGCCTTGTTTGTGCTTGACTTCGCGAACTATGGCTTTCCGTTGTTCTCGCACAACCTTGTTTGGTCTAGCTTGTCTCTGTCACTGCCGGGAATGGCAAGGATGGGATCGTCTTTGTTGGTGCTGGGTTCTGTTCATCTCGGATCAACACCGCTCCTGCAAGGCTTCTCCAGAGCGGGTTCAGTTTTGAGCGCTTTGGATGCGACCTACTTCGGCTTCTCGCCGTTGTCGAGAAGCCCGGCTTGAGTAGACGTCCTGTCGTTGGTGCCGGACACCGTCACACTCGAGCCACTGTTGCCACTCCGTGGATGCTCACAAGCTGGCAGCTTGCCATTTGTTCTTGATTTTGTGCATTTGGCGTTGCCCTTGCTCCTGAAGAGTGCAGCTCGGTCAGAACTCGCCCTGCTTGCTCTGGATTCTGTGCACAGTGGATTCTCTTCGTTCCCGCATCAGCTTGCTCGAGCAGGGTTTCTACTGCTTGTGCTGGGCGCAAGCTGCATGGACTTCTCACCTTCAGTGCTTGATGTTTGTGAGTTTGGACCGCCGCCACCTTTGCGGGGACTCGCGCAGCTTGACCTCCTGCCATCAGTCCCGGATTTCAGCTCGCTGGGTTCGCCTCTATTGTTGAGAGGAACGGTTTGCGTCGGATTCGTGATGTCAGTGCTGGATTCCGTGGGCATGGGCCCGTCATCACCTTTACGTGGTCGTGCGCGATGTGACTCTGCATTGCTGGCATCGAGTTTTGTGCAACTCGGCTTGCTGCCGTCCCTGCGCAGCATGGCCCGGTCAGAACTGGCACTTCTTGTATCGGAGGCCGCAACTCCAGATTTGCTGTTACCGTTGCGAGGGGTTGCACATGCTGAGCCGGCTGCATTTGCTTTGGACTCCACTCACTTCGCCTCTTTTCTGCTGCTCCACAGCCACGCACACATGGGTTCCTCGCCGCTTGCGCCTGACTTTGCGCAAGCAGGCTTGTTCTTGTTGCTGCAATGCCACAGCCATGCAGACTCCCCTCCTCCGGCTGTTGGCGTTGCACGCTTGGGCTTTTCCACATCAGTTCTCGGCCATGCCACATCAGGGCCACTGCCGTCTTTGCAGGGCTGCGCACGCCCGGGCTTCTCTCTTTCAGTACTTGAACTTGCTCAACTGGGCTTTCCTTCGCCACTGCAAGGATGTGCCCGCATCGAGAGTGCTTTGCTGGCACTTGACCCCGCTCATTTGGACTCGCTACTGCCTTTGAGGAGTTATTCGTGAACCGAGCCTGCTTCGTCCGTGCTTGAGGCAGCATCGCCGGGTCCACCACCGTCTCTGCAAAGCGCAGCATGTTTCGACCCAGCTCTGCCGGCACTTGATGGCGTTCATCTTGGATCCTCTCTTCTGCTGCGAGGACCGTCATGGCTGGGGCCGTCAGTGTCCGCGTCAGGGGTTGCAGCCTTCGGCCCATCCTTGCCGTTGAGGGGCACGGCCCAGGCCGACCTTGCTGCATTTGTTTTGGACTGTACTCACCTCGCCTCCTTGCTGCTGCTCCACAGCCATGCACACCTGGGTGCCTCGCCCCTTGCGCCTGACTTTGCGCAAGCAGGCTTGTTCTTGTTGCTGCAATGCTACAGCCATCCAGACTCCCCTCCTCCGGCTGTTGGCATTGCACGGCTGGGCTTTTCCACATCAGTTCTCGGCCATGCCACGTCAGGGCCACTGCCGTCTTTGCATGGCTGCGCATGCCCGGGCACCTCTCCTTCCGTACTGGAACTTGCTCAACTGGGCTTTCCTTCGCCACTGCACGGATGTGCCTGCATTGAGAGTGCTTTGCCGGCGCTTGACCCCGTGCACTTGGACTCGCTACTGCCGTTGAGGGGTCGTTCATGAACGGAGCCTGCTTCGTCCGTGCTAGAGGCAGTGTCGCCTGGCTCACCTCCGTCTCTGCGTAGTGCAGCATGTCTCGACCCAGCTCTGCCGGCACTTGATGGCGTTCATCTTGGATCCTCTCTTCTGCTGCGAGGACCGTCATGGCTGGGGCCGTCAGTGTCCGCGTCAGGGGTTGCAGCCTTCGGCCCATCCTTGCCGTTGAGGGGCACGGCCCAGGCCGACCTTGCTGCTTTTGTTTTGGACTCCACTCACCTCGCCTCCTTGCTGCTGCTCCACAGCCATGCACACCTGGGTGCCTCGCCCCTTGCGCCTGACTTTGCGCAGGCAGGCTTGTTTTTGTTGCTGCAATGCTACAGCCATGCAGACTCCCCTCCTCCGGCTGTTGGCATTACTCGGTTGGGCTTTTTCACATTAGTTCTCGGCCATGCTACGTCAGGGCCACTGCCGTCTTTGCAGGGCTGCGCACGCCCGGGCACCTTTCCTTCCGCACTGGAACCTGCTCAACTGGGCTTTCTTTCGCCACTGCACGGACGTGCTTGCATCGAGAGTGCTTTGCTGGTTCTTGACCCCGTGCATCTAGACTCGCTGCTGTCTTTGAGGAGCTGTTCGTGAACCGAGCCTGCTTCGTCCGTACTGGAAGCAGCGTCGCTGGGTCCACCACCGTCTCTGCATAGCGCAGCATGTTTCGACTCAGCTCTGCTGGCACTGGATGGCGTTCAGCTCGGGTCCTCTCTTCTGCTGCGAGGACCGTCATGGCTGGGGCCGTCATTGTCCGCATCAGAGGTTGCAGCGTTGGGCTCATCCTTGCCTTTGCGATGTTTTGCTTGCATGGAGTCAGTGTCGTCGATGGTTGGCATGAGCTGGGTGGATGCCTCAATTTCAGTTCCGGGTCTGGCTGAGCTCGGACTGCCATTATCTCTTCGCGGATGCGCGAGGGTTGGCTTTGCCCCACTTGCATCAGACTGCGTGGCACCGGGGCTGCTGCTGCCGTCACGAGGCATGGCACATGTTGGTTTTCTGATGCTCGCGTTGGAGTTTGTGGGCTCGGGTCCTTTGTCGTCTTTGCGCAGTCGTTCGCAATGTGACTCGTTACCGTCGGCATTGAGCTTTGTGCAGTCTGGCTTGCCTCTGCCTCTTCGTGCAGTGTCCTGTTCAGAGTCTGCCCTTCTCGTGCTGGAAGTCGCCAGCTTGGGTTTCTCGTTATTATTGAGAGGCACGGCCCAGGCCGACCTTGCTGCATCTGTTTTGGACTCCACTCACTTCGCCTCTTTACTGCTGATTCGCAGCCATGCACACCTGGGTGCCTCGCCCCTTGCGCCTGACTTTGCGCAGGCAGGCTTGTTCTTGTTGCTGCAATGCTACAGCCATGCAGACTCCCCTCCTCTGGCTGTTGGCATTACTCGGTTGGGCTTTTTCACATTAGTTCTCGGCCATGCCACGTCAGGGCCACTGCCGTCTTTGCAGGGCTGCGCATGCCCGGGCGCCTCTCCTTCCGCACTGGAACTTGCTCAACTGGGCTTTCCTTCGCCACTGCACGGATGTGCCTGCATTGAGAGTGCTTTGCCGGCGCTTGACCCCGTGCACTTGGACTCGCTACTGCCGTTGAGGGGTCGTTCATGAACGGAGCCTGCTTCGTCCGTGCTAGAGGCAGTGTCGCCCGGCTCACCTCCCTCTCTGCACAGCGCAGCATGTTTGGACCCAGCTCTGCCGGCACTTGATGGCGTTCAGCTCGGGTCCTCTCTTCTGCTGCGAGGACCGTCATGGCTGGGGCCGTCATTGTCCGCATCAGAGGTTGCAGCGTTGGGCTCATCCTTGCCTTTGCGATGTTTTGCTTGCATGGAGTCAGTGTCGTCGGTGGTTGGCATGAGCTGGGTGGATGCCTCAATTTCAGTTCCGGGTCTGGCTGAGCTCGGACTGCCATTATCTCTTCGCGGATGCGCGAGGGTTGGCTTTGCCCCACTTGCATCAGACTGCGTGGCACCGGGGCTGCTGCTGCCGTCACGAGGCATGGCACATGTTGGTTTTCTGATGCTCGCGTTGGAGTTTGTGGGCTCGGGTCCTTTGTCGTCTTTGCGCAGTCGTTCGCAATGTGACTCGTCACCGTCGGCATTGAGCTTCGTGCAGTCTGGCTTGCCTCTGCCTCTTCGTGCAGTGTCCTGTTCAGAGTCTGCCCTTCTCGTGCTGGAAGTCGCCAGCTTGGGTTTCTCGTTATTATTGAGAGGCACGGCCCAGGCCGACCTTGCTGCATCTGTTTTGGACTCCACTCACTTCGCCTCTTTACTGCTGATTCGCAGCCATGCACACCTGGGTGCCTCGCCCCTTGCGCCTGACTTTGCGCAGGCAGGCTTGTTCTTGTTGCTGCAATGCTACAGCCATGCAGACTCCCCTCCTCTGGCTGTTGGCATTACTCGGTTGGGCTTTTTCACATTAGTTCTTGGCCATGCCACGTCAGGGCCACTGCCGTCTTTGCAGGGCTGCGCACGCCCGGGCACCTTTCCTTCAGTACTGGAACCTGCTCAACTGGGCTTTCTTTCGCCACCGCACGGACGTGCTTGCATCGAGAGTGCTTTGCTGGTTCTTGACCCCGTGCATCTAGACTCACTGCTGCCTTTGAGGAGCTGTTCGTGAACCGAGCCTGCTTCGTTCGTACTGGAAGCAGCGTCGCTGGGTCCACCACCGTCTCTGCATAGCGCAGCATGTTTCGACCCAGCTCTGCCGGCACTGGATGGCGTTCAGCTCGGGTCCTCTCTTCTGCTGCGAGGACCGTCATGGCTGGGGCCGTCATTGTCCGCATCAGAGGTTGCAACATTGGGCCCATCATTGCCGTTGAGGGGCACGGCCCAGGCCGACCTTGCTGCATTTGTTTTGGACTGTACTCACCTCGCCTCTTTGCTGCTGCTCCACAGCCATGCACAATTCGGTTCCTCGCCCCTTGCGCCTGACTTTGCGCATGCAGGCTTGTTTTTGTTGCTGCAATGCTACAGCCGTCCAGACTTTCCTCCTCCGGCTGTTGGCATTGCGCGGTTGGGCTTTTCTACATTAGTTCTCAGCCATGCCACGTCAGGGCCGCTGCCGTCTTTGCAGGGCTGCGCATGCCCGGGCACCTCTCCTTCCGTACTGGAACTTGCTCAACTGGGCTTTCCTTCGCCACTGCACGGACGTGCTCGCATCGACAGTGCTTTGCTGGTTCTTGGCCCCGTGCATTTGGACTCGCTGCTGTCTTTGAGGAGCTGTTCGTGAACCGAGCCTGCTTCGTCCGTGCTGGAAGTAGCATCGCTGGGTCCACCGCCGTCTCTGCATAGCGCAGCATGTTTCGACCCAGCTCTGCCGGCACTGGATGGCGTTCAGCTCGGGTCCTCTCTTCTGCTGCGAGGACCGTCATGGCTGGGGCCGTCATTGTCCGCATCAGAGGTTGCAGCGTTGGGCTCATCCTTGCCTTTGCGATGTTTTGCTTGCATGGAGTCAGTGTCGTCGGTGGTTGGCATGAGCTGGGTGGATGCCTCAATTTCAGTTCCGGGTCTGGCTGAGCTCGGACTGCCATTATCTCTTCGCGGATGCGCGAGGGTTGGCTTTGCCCCACTTGCATCAGACTGCGTGGCACCGGGGCTGCTGCTGCCGTCACGAGGCATGGCACATGTAGGTTTTCTGATGCTCGCGTTGGAGTTTGTGGGCTCGGGTCCTTTGTCGTCTTTGCGCAGTCGTTCGCAATGTGACTCGTCACCGTCGGCATTGAGCTTTGTGCAGTCTGGCTTGCCTCTGCCTCTTCGTGCAGTGTCCTGTTCAGAGTCTGCCCTTCTCGTGCTGGAAGTCGCCAGCTTGGGTTTCTCGTTGTTATTGCGATCTGTGGCTAAATCTGGTCCGGGACTGCTCGTTCTGAGCATGACATGCTTGAGCCCTTCTCTGTCGCTGCGGTCAGTTGCCCGACTGGGTGCGTCCCTTTCTGTGACAGATCACGTGCATCTCGACTTCCTACCGCTGCTCCAGGGCGCTGCTTACCCTGATTTCATGTCGTTTGTTCCAGACTTCGTGCGCTTGGAGTTGCTCCTTTCGTCAAAGGCTGCTGCTTGTCCCGACTTGGCAGCTTCAGCTCTGGAGACAGCTCACCCGGATGCACCACCGTTGCTAAGAGGCGTCTCCTATGCCGGAAGCGTGTTGCTTGCGCTCAGCTTTGCCCACTTCGGCTTCCCACCATTTTTGCGGAATTATGCACAGGCAGGTTTGTCGCTGCTGCCGGCAGGAGCAGCTCGACTGGGACTCTTCCTGCTTGCCTCGGGACATGCTCACCCTGAGCCTTTGTCACTTCCACAGGGATGTGCCAGAGTTGCTTCGCTGTTGAGTGTTTTGGCCGCCATTCAGCTCGGCTTCTCCTTGCTCTTAAAGGGCACGAAGCGTTTAGAGCCGGGGCTGCCTGTGCTTGATTTTATTGGTTTGGGCCCTTTCCTGCCACTGAAGGGCCGTTCGCACCTTGGCAGCTTACTTCTCGTGCTAGGTCGTGCCCATTTGGAGCTATCTTCGTTTCCAAGGGGTGCCTCGAGGTCAGAAGTAGCTTTGCTTGCTTTGGATACTGCACACTTTGGCCCCTTACCGTTTCTACGACAGCTTGCTCGGCTCAGTTCTTTGCTGCCTGTGTCGGGAGTCAGTCGGATGGACTTTTCCCCCTCCGTGCTGTCGGTCACCACATCGGAATCTTCGCTGCTTGCTCAGGGCTGCCAGCGCCCGGGTCGTGCACTTTCCGTGCTCGACACAACCAACTCAGCATCTTGCCTGTTGCTGCGGAGCATTGCAAAGCTTGGAAGCTTCTCGCCGGCCTTCGATAGCGCCTACTTTGGCTTCTCTTCGCCCGTCAGGAGCTGCTTGAGGTTAGGCTCAGCTTCCTGTACTCAGGTGAACCACCTGGTGGGAAGCACCTTACTTGTGATTGGAATTACAAGGTTGGGGGGCTTTCTGTTGGCCTTAGATTTCACGCATCTAGCCTCTTCTGCTTCGGTTCGCGGCTTAGCCTGCCTAGAGCTGATTTCACTGGCTTTGGACTGCGTGAATCTTGGCCCGAGCTTGCTGCTCAGAGCAGTGTCCCGACTTGACTCGCGGTTGCCTGCACTCGATGCCGCCAGCCCCGGTCCGATCCTTCTGTTGCGAGGGGCAGCCTGCATGAGTTTGTCCCTTTCTGCCTTGGACATGGTGCAGCTGGGCTTCTTCTTACCTCTTCAAGGTGCTGCCCGATGTGGTCCGGCACTCTCTGCCTTGCAGCTATCGCACCTCGACCCGTTCCCTTCTGTGAAGGGCCGTGCAAGGCCTGGGCCACCTCCCTTAGTACTCGACCTCATTGGACCGGGTCTGTCGTCACCATCGCGGGGCTTTGCAAGACTGGATTTCTTTATTTCCGTGAGTTCTGTTGCTCGCCCTGGCTCGAGCATGTTGGCGCCGGACTGCGCGCATTCAGGGCCACTTCCGTCCTCGCATGGCCCGGCGCAGCCCGGCTTCGTGTTGTTGGCTCTTGAAGCCGCACTTCTGGGTTCCCTCCTGCTCCTCAGAGGCATATCGTGCTCAGGCCCCCTCCTGCCAGCACCGGGTCTTGCATCCATCGGCTCGCCGTTGTTGCCTCAAGGTACGGCTTGAATCGACCCAGCACTGCTCGCTTCGGAGGCCGTGAGTTTGGAGTCCCTGTTGCTGTTGCGTGGCAGCATCTGATGCGGGCCGATCTTACCGGTTTTGGATTTCGCGCAACTCGAATTGCTACCACCTTCGAGAGGCATGGCACATGTGGACCTGCTTCTGCTGGCCCCTGACAGCAGTTCCATCAGCTCACCGTTGTCTTTGCAGCAATTCGCTTGCTTCGGCTCCCTTTCGCCAGTTCTTGGCGTGTCTCGCGTGGAGTTGTTTTTGCCAGCACCTGGCGTCGCCAGCCCTGACCCGTCGCTGCTGCCGAGAGGTGTGGCATGTTTGGAATCAGCTTTGCCGGTGCCTGACTGTGCCCATTCAGAATTGCTCTTGTCGTTGCGGGGCTGCGCCAAGGCTGGCCCGGCCTTGCTTGCTTTGGACTTTGTATCGCTGGGCTTATTCCTGCTGCCTCGAACGATTTCCCGCCTGGGTTCGGGCTTGTTGGTAGCAGGAGCCGTGCGAGCAGACTTTGTTCTGCCAGCGCTTGGCGTGTCCAGCTTTGGCTCCTCCTCGTTTTTGCGTGGAGTGTCTTGGTTAGACTTGGCCATGTTGGTCCTTGATAGCACTCATTCAGGACCAGTGCTTTCATTGCAAGGCTTTGCTCGGCCTGACCTGCTGCCGTCCGTTCTTGAAGTTGTGTCCCTAGGATTGTTGCTGCTTCTGAGGGGAGCTTCGTGCACGGATGCCGTGCTGTCTGCACCGTCCGCCGTGAACACGGGTTTCTTTTCATCTTTGCGAAGCCTGTGCTGCATTGACTCTGTATCGCCCGCCTTAGAGGTTGCAAGCTCGGAGTCCTTTCTGCTGTTACATGGCGGTGCCCGCTTGGAACCGTCTTTGCCAGCACTGGATTCTGTCCAGCCGGGGCCGTTGCCACTGTTGAGAGGCACAGCGCGACTTGGTCTTGTTCTGTCCGCCTTTGACAGCAGTTCCATCAGCTCACCTTTGTCTTTGCAGCAATTCGCTTGCTTCGGCTCGCTTTCGCCAGTTCTTGGCGTGTCTCGGGTGGAGTTGCTTTTGCCAGCACCTGGCATCGCCAGCCCTGACCTGTCGCTGCTGCCGAGAGGTGTGGCATGTTTGGAATCAGCTTTGCCGGTGCCTGACTGTGCCCATTCAGAATTGCTCTTGTCGTTGCGGGGCTGCTCCCAGGCTGGCCCGGCCTTGTTGGCTTTGGACTTTGTGTCGCTGGGCTTATCTCTGCTGCTTCAAACGATCTCGCGATTGGGCTTGGGCTTGTTGGTAGCAGGAGCCGTGCGAGCGGACTTTCTTTTGCCAGCGCTTGGTGTGTCCAGCTTTGGCTCCTCCTCGTTTCTGCGTGGAGTGTCTTGGTTAGACTTGGCCATGTTGGTCCTTGACAGCACTCATTCAGGACCAGTGCTTTCATTGCAAGGCTTTGCTCGGCCTGACCTGCTGCCGTCCGTTCTTGAAGTTGTGTCCCTGGGATTGTTGCTGCTTCTGAGGGGAGCTTCGTGCACGGATGCCTTGCTGTTTGCGCCGTCCGCCGTGAACACGGGCTTCTTTTTGTCTTTGAAAAGCCTGTGCTGCATTGACTCTGTATCGCCCGCCTTAGAGGTTGCAAGCTCGGAATCCTTTCTGCTGTTACATGGCGGTGCCCGCTTGGAACCATCTTTGCCAGCACTGGATTCCGCCCAGCCGGGGCCGTTGCCGCTGTTGAGAGGCACAGCGCGACTTGGTCTTGTTCTGTCCGCCTTTGACAGCAGTTCCATCAGCTCACCGTTGTCTTTGCAGCAATTCGCTTGCTTCGGCTCCCTTTCGCCAGTTCTTGGCGTGTCTCGGGCGGAGTTGCTTTTGCCAGCACCTGGTGTTGCCAGCCCTGACCCGTCGCTGCTGCCGAGAGGTGTGGCATGTTTGGAATCAGCTTTGCCGGTGCCTGACTGTGCCCATTCAGAATTGCTCTTGTCGTTGCGGGGCTGCGCCAAGGCTGGCCTGGCCTTGCTTGCTTTGGACTTTGTATCGCTGGGCTTATTCCTGCTGCCTCAAACGATTTCCCGTTTGGGTTCGGGCTTGTTGGTAGCAGGAGCCGTGCGAGCAGACTTTGTTCTGCCAGCGCTTGGCGTGTCCAGCTTTGGCTCCTCCTCGTTTCTGCGTGGAGTGTCTTGGTTAGACTTGGCCATGCTGGTCCTTGATAGCACTCATTCAGGACCAGTGCTTTCATTGCAAGGCTTTGCTCGGCCTGACCTGCTGCCATCTGTGCTTGAAGTTGTGTCCCTGGGATTGTTGCTGCTTCTGAGGGGAGCTTCGTGCACGGATGCCGTGCTGTCTGCACCGTCCGCCGTGAACACGGGCTTCTTTTCATCTTTGCGAAGCCTGTGCTGCATTGACTCTGTATCGCCCGCCTTAGAGGTTGCAAGCTCGGAGTCCTTTCTGCTGTTACATGGCGGTGCCCGCTTGGAACCATCTTTGCCAGCACTGGATTCTGTCCAGCCGGGGCCGTTGCCACTGTTGAGAGGCACAGCGCAACTTGGTCTTGCGTTGTCCGTCTTTGACAGCAGTTCCATCAGCTCACCGTTGTCTGCGCAGCAACTCGCTTGCTTCGGCTCCCTTTCGCCAGTTCTTGGTGTGTCTCGGGTGGAGTTGCTTTTGCCAGCACCTGGCGTCGCCAGCCCTGACCCGTCGCTGCTGCCGAGAGGTGTGGCATGTTTGGAATCAGCTTTGCCGGTGCCTGACCGTGGCCATTCAGAATTGCTCTTGTCGTTGCGGGGCTGCGCCAAGGCTGGCCCGGCCTTGCTGGCTTTGGACTTTGTATCGCTGGGCTTATTCCTGCTGCCTCAAACGATTTCCCGTTTGGGTTCGGGCTTGCCGGTAGCAGGAGCCGTGCGAGCAGAATTTGTTCTGCCAGCGCTTGGCGTGTCCAGCTTTGGCTCCTCCTCGTTTCTGCGTGGAGTGTCTTGGTTAGACTTGGCCATGTTGGTCCTTGATAGCACTCATTCAGGACCAGTGCTTTCATTGCAAGGCTTTGCTCGGCCTGACCTGCTGCCGTCCGTTCTTGAAGTTGTGTCCCTGGGACTGTTGCTGCTTCCGAGGGGAGCTTCGTGCACGGATGCCGTGCTGTTTGCGCCGTCCGCCGTGAACACAGGTTTCTCTTTATCTTTGCGAAGCTCGTGCTGCATTGACTCTGTATCGCCCGCCTTAGAGGTTGCAAGCTCGGAGTCCTTTCTGCTGTTACATGGCGGTGCCCGCTTGGAACCGTCTTTGCCAGCACTGGATTCTGTCCAGCCGGGGCCGTTGCCACTGTTGAGAGGCACAGCGCGACTTGGTCTTGTTCTGTCCGCCTTTGACAGCAGTTCCATCAGCTCACCTTTGTCTTTGCAGCAATTCGCTTGCTTCGACTCGCTTTCGCCAGTTCTTGGCGTGTCTCGGGTGGAGTTGCTTTTGCCAGCACCTGGCATCGCCAGCCCTGACCTGTCGCTGCTGCCGAGAGGTGTGGCATGTTTGGAATCAGCTTTGCCGGTGCCTGACTGTGCCCATTCAGAATTGCTCTTGTCGTTGCGGGGCTGCTCCCAGGCTGGCCCGGCCTTGTTGGCTTTGGACTTTGTGTCGCTGGGCTTATCTCTGCTGCTTCAAACGATCTCGCGATTGGGCTTGGGCTTGTTGGTAGCCGGAGCCGTGCGAGCGGACTTTCTTTTGCCAGCGCTTGGTGTGTCCAGCTTTGGCTCCTCCTCGTTTCTGCGTGGAGTGTCTTGGTTAGACTTGGCCATGCTGGTCCTTGATAGCACTCATTCAGGACCAGTGCTTTCATTGCAAGGCTTTGCTCGGCCTGACCTGCTGCCATCTGTGCTTGAAGTTGTGTCCCTGGGATTGTTGCTGCTTCTGAGGGGAGCTTCGTGCACGGATGCCGTGCTGTTTGCGCCGTCCGCCGTGAACACGGGCTTCTTTTCATCTTTGCGAAGCTTGTGCTGCATCGACTTTGTCTTGCCCGTCTTGGAGGTTGCAAGCTCGGAGTCCTTTCTGCTGTTGCATGGCGGTGCCCGCTTGGAACCATCTTTGCCAGCACTGGATTCCGCCCAGCCGGGGCCGTTGCCACTGTTGAGAGGCACAGCGCGACTTGGTCTTGTTCTGTCCGCCTTTGACAGCAGTTCCATCAGCTCACCGTTGTCTTTGCAGCAATTCGCTTGCTTCGGCTCCCTTTCGCCAGTTCTTGGTGTGTCTCGGGTGGAGTTGCTTTTGCCAGCACCTGGCGTCGCCAGCCCTGACCCGTCGCTGCTGCCGAGAGGTATTGCGCGTTTGGGATCAGCTTTGCCGGTGCCTGACTGTGTCCATTCAGAATTGCTCTTGTCGTTGCGGGGCTGCTCCCAGGCTGGCCCGGCCTTGCTTGCTTTGGACTTTGTATCGCTGGGCTCATCCCCGCTGCTTCAAACGATCTCCTGTTTGGGTTTGGGCTCGCTGGTAGCAGGAGCCGTGCGAGCGGACTTTCTTCTGCCAGTGCTTGGTGTGTCCAGCTTTGGCTCCTCCTCGTTTCTGCGTGGAGTGTCTTGGTTAGACTTGGTCATGTTGGTCCTTGATAGCACTCATTCAGGACCAGTGCTTTCATTGCACGGCTTCGCTCGGCCTGGCCCGCTGCCGTTTGTGCTTGAAGCTGCGTCCCTGGGATTGCTGCTGCTTCTGAGGGGAGCTTCGTGCACGGATGCTGCGCTGCCAGTACCGGGATTGGTGAACACGGGCTCCTCCCCATCCCTCCGAAGTTTGTGCTGCGTAGGCTTTGCGTCACCTGCCTTGGAGGTTGCAAGCTTGGAGTCCTTTCTGCTGCTACATGGCGGTGCCCGCTTGGAACCGTCTTTGCCAGCACTGGATTCTGTCCAGCCGGGGCCGTTGCCACTGTTGAGAGGCACAGCGCGACTTGGTCTTGTTCTGTCCGCCTTTGACAGCAGTTCCATCAGCTCACCTTTGTCTTTGCAGCAATTCGCTTGCTTCGGCTCGCTTTCGCCAGTTCTTGGCGTGTC